GTTGTAAAAGAGTCTTCTTCATCATCTCCAACAAAATTTTTGTTTTTTGCTTTTTCGAATTTTTTGGGAAAAAGGATCGTCAGAAAGAGTTTGTTGGTAATTAAAATAAGTTATTTTATACTATTTAGAAAATTTTAAATCAATTTAAAAAAATTTTATAATATATTCAAATATAAATTTTTTATAATTAAAATTTATAAAAAATATATACTATTTTAATATATTATAAAAATTTTAATTAAATTTTAAAAAACTTTTATTATAAGTTTGTATTTATTTTTAGTCTAAAAAAACAATATATAATAATTTAATTTATATATACTTTACTATTAAAAACTAAAATTTAAAAATATTTACTATTAGTCTAGTGATCTTAGTATAGTAGTTAGATTGCTCAACTACTATGCAAAAGGTCTAGAATTCAAATCTCACTGTTAATGAATTTGAATAATTACCTAAATCTTTGTATCTAACTTATAGTAAACTCTGTTCATTTTTAGAGTTGTAACCCTGTAAATTAAGTTATACAAAGTTGTTTGAATATTAAAAATATAATATAATATTATATAAAGAAATTTTAATAAGATCTATAAATAGAAGATTTGTATGATAAAACTCTGAGTTGATAAAGTAGTATTGCTTTTAATAGTTATACTAGCTAATACTTGATCTGACAAGAAATACTACTGAGAAAGGTGTAGATTGAAATAGGTACAAGTAAGTCTATTTCATAAGAAGAATTAGCAATACTAACTTGGCTTGGCAGCTAACTGAATTTAGAAGAATTTGTTTTGTAAAATATTCTAAGAGAGAGAATATAAATACTAGTGAAGAGCTATAGTAGAAACTAAGATTGTATAAATATTACAAGGGTCTAAGCTAGATGAATTCATAAAATGAATATAGACTACTCTAGTAAGTATGCTTTTAAGGTTAACTGAAGCTTTGCATACTCACAATATATTGAGCTATACATATTTCGAGAAAATCTAAGTCATGTAATAAATAGATTTATGAGTAAGTTAGCTAGTTTAAGTAATCAGATGTAGTAGTAATATTAGTTTAAAATAAGGGAAAAGGTTAATAATCAGAGTATTTAAATAGGTAATCTATAGACAAATTGCAGATATGACAACATAGTTTAAAACTAACAGATAGTCAATTGTTTGTATAGCAAACTACTTAAATTAGATAATGACTAAAGTTATACATGTGACTTGTTATACACTTATTATATAACTATAAAACCTTAGAAGTCTACTCTTGTAGTAGCTCTGTAATAACAAATTAATAAAATCTAATTGGCAAATGAAGTTACCTTAATATCAAAAAAAATATATATTTACTACTTTTTTTACTATAAGAGTTTTTATATATACAGTAACTAGTTATAAATTTAAAGTATTTCTAACTTATCTTCATAGTGAATTAACCACTCTAAATAATTCACTAATCTTGTATAACAAAAACATATAAAATTTAAAAAAAAATATATTAAAAATCGTAATTATTTTAAAATTTTATTATAAAACTAGTTTTGAATATTTAAATAAAAGTTTTTAGTATCAAATTTTGCAAATAAATACATACTCTAATATAGGCTTCACTCTAATCCTAATCTCAAAAAATAGGTTACTTATATAAAAGAATTTTTATAATAATAAAGTAGTAAATTAACTAGAAGTAAAATTAATTATATTCATAAATTTATTTATATTTATATAGTATTAATAATAATAATTTATCTATATAACGTATATAAAATGAATAAAATCCAATTTATATTATAGTGTAGTAAATTTTGCAAAAAATACTATAAGCCGTGTCTCAATTGATAAAGTTTTATATATGAATTTATAATCTTGATATATTTATTATTATCCAAAACACTGCATAAGAGATAATTAGAAATTTACGAGCTTTTATTGGACAGTATTTTAACAATTTAAAGCAACTTTACGATTCAATAATTGTCAAATTGCTTTATCTGAATATTTAATAACAAATATTAATATTTATATAATACTAAATAAGTTATACGTACTGTATAACTTATATATTAATAATTATATACAGTATTAATAAACAAAAAATATTAACACTATTTTTATATATGTAGGCCTAAAAAAAAAAAAAAAAATCAATAAATGATAATTGTCATTTAAAGCTTTTTAAAAATAGTCGTACTGATACTGTTTTAAATGAAATTAAAAGCATTTTAAAATTTAACAATTCCTTGTATCGCAATGAATTAGTTATATAATATAGCATATTTTTGCTACAAAAGAGGTTGTATGTAAAAAATGAATTAAATCCGATAAAACACTAACTGATCACTTTAATCAAACGGAGTATATCGATATTAAGAATTTTTGAGGAGTGGTATCATATGAATATGTCTTTCGAAGGTCAGCATGAATTTAGAAGTGTTATCGTTATCGTTATCTGAATAGTCGCATAAATGAAAAATTACATGTGACGCGCCTTTGTGTATTGGTATTGGTATACGTACTATCATTAATCATCATTCAACCAATGGTGAAAGAGACTTACTTGCATACGACCGAAAAGATGATCCGTACATCATCGACGACAATCACAACAAAAGTTTTATCCCTGATAACTTCACGGAAGCTCGCGTTGTTGACGAAAAAAAATAAAGAGTCATAAAAGTACAATAAATCGAAGCAATTTCAGAGGTGATCAAATGCCAGGTGTCCAAATGCAAATCGTCAATGATCATTATATCCTTGACATCAATCACCTCCTGTCATTAATCGCCAATACAGTGTGCTGCTTTCTATCAATTAAATAGAAGATATATATATAATATATCCTTTTTCGAACAGATAACTATTATTATGCAGGAATAGCCGTTAATTTCTTTTATGAAGGACCAAGGGGACAACGCGCGTCACAGGAGAATGAAAATTAGTAAGCGTTCATTCTTGTGAAATAGAATAAAATAATTCCTTTCGCTTTATCGGTAAGTAAATTATCAAAGTGGGAAATTTAGATCATTATTCGAATATCATATATGGCTATATTTGATTTTCTTGTATGCTTTATAATGTTTATAAGTTTGTATAAGATGAGGACTATAAAGTGGCGCATCGAGGGCGGAAAACCCAATTTTGAATAGGTCAATTGATCGCTGAAAACAATAGACTCCGCTCTTGCAATCGGGATTTATTTATTACCTTATTTGTCTTGACACTTGCACAAATATATGCGGACTTTTTTCTGCTTCTATAGATTTTTTTCTAGCGTCCACTGATCATGCTGAATCTTTGGATCTGGTCCCTATTCTATTATATGTACAGCAAATCATCATTTTATTAAGTATGATATTTTTTTTTGTTTCATCAATTGAATATTGATGTCTGTAGGTTTTCATGTAATTTTTGCATTTACCTCCTAGAATACTTTATAAAACTCCTTTGCCGCCTTTTTTGATCCTCAACTTCTCTTTCCCCTTTTCCGTTTTTTTCCTTTTTCCTTTCTTTTCTCGTATCCTCCTTGATTATTAATATCCTTGGAATTTTTTCCTCCGAACTTAGAAAAACGTTCGTAATAATTTCTTACACTTGTATATCATATACAATATATATCTTACATGTATTTACCGTAGAGTGAAAGCGTGAAGAAAAAAAAAAACGAACCAAAAAAAACCAGATTTTTCAAATTAGTTGTAGATAGCTCATGATTTCGTTCTTTTAATTATGCAAATTTTATATAAAATCACGCTAAAGTTTCATATTTTTTGTTCATTCCATCCACCATTCTTTTTCATCCATCATACGTACCATCACTCTCTTTATCTTTTCCTTTATACATATATTAGTTGTTGCTGCACTCCCATCAATTCTACATATATATAATTATACAATTATACGTTATATATATTTATATATATTTATATATATTATATCGATACTTTGACCTTTTTTGAACTTTTTTTTTTTAAAAAAAAAGAACTCTAAACAAAAAAGTGCATTTCAACTATTTTTAATATATCGTAAAAATTGTCACGTTTTTTCATTTAGTTTTTTTCTGCGGCACGGCAGAATTACATATAATCTTCCCAAAATTACCTAGTATCAATTTTATTGAGGATTTGGATTTTTTTATTTTTCTTCCATAAAGAATCTTCTATTGTTTATTAATTATGGCTTGGAGAAACGTTAAAAAGTTGGGAAATCTTATTAATGATATTCGAACTCCAAAGAACGTTAATCCTCAAAATACTGCGGCGTCGACTATTTTATCTTCACATGACACTTCATCGAATGATAACCTTTTGGTTTCTTCTACAAATATTCAAGATTCGGCTTGTACTAGCCCTTTTTCTGCCCATAATTGTGATACGCGTTCGAATTTAACTGATATCCATTGCGAATTACGTGATGCGAGTGAATTACTTTATCTTCAGTTACCTGAAGATGTTAAACTCGTATTGGATAGGCTTCGGAATTTACAACGTATTGAAAATTCTTTCTTATTTTATGATAAATTGCCTAATGGTGATTGGCAGGTATGCTTGTTTTTATTTCCTATCTCTTACTTATAGTTTGCGGTAAAATTAATTTACAAAATTGTGGTAATATGGATTGCATTCAAATGCTACGTATAATCCTACTATATGCCACAATTTGGTAATTCTACCGACAACTACATTATATTATCGCTTCTCACGTGATTTACTTCATTGATTACATGTAGTGTCCATTCGTGACGTTAGAGTCTTCCTTGATGTCAATATTAATATTGGCTCCTACCTTATTATTGGTCAATGCTCCTGGTTCCCTAAAATTGGACGATGACAACGATGATCATGGATATTATGATACAGATGATTATTTATCCTCACGTCCATCCTCTTCGATAATCCAAGAAGAGGCCCTTTCTGTCATACATGAAAATGTGGAATGCCATTATATCGGTCATTCTGAACAATCTCTACATCCCAAATATTATGCCCGTCTTTCTCATTCTTCAATGTCAACTTTTCATTCTGAATCATCTGAAAAGTCTTCAAAACACTCCTCATTGATTAAAGTTTTGAGCTCTTCTAGCCTCCTGACTAAAATAATTGGTTCTATGTTATCACATCATAATGATGCTCTAATGAATTCATTTACCGATTCTACAACTCTGGATAATTTTCATCGACTGTATGCTCGAGTATCTAAGGAGTCAAAGGATCTAACAGACCAAATAAGGAAAATCACCACACAAGGAAAAACGGATGAGTTAGTGGAATATGGTCAGGTGATTAAATATTTATATACGTTATAATATAATGTGATTTGTAATCACTTATCATTAATGATATTTTTGCACTAACAATTTAAAATATATGATTCTTTGATAGACTGTTTATAACGAATTAGTATTTCATGCAAATAATTTGGTTGAAGCATTAGATTTATTTGTAAAATTTGTTAATCATCTTCCGCAACTTTATGAAGAACGTAAGTTTTCGCGTGATTATCCTCTTTTTTTTTTTTTTTTTTTTTTTTCTTAAAAAAAAAATGTTTATAAAAATAGCATCGGAATTGAATTTAACATCTCCAGTGGATGCTCAACCAAAAGAGTCTTTGGTGACTGAACAAAAATATAAAAGGTATTGAATTTGGTTAATTTTTATTACATATTTTATATACTTGCATATATGTTTATATATATTTATATATATTTATATTACTACGTATATATAATTTATATATATATTCATATATATATATATATATATATATATATGTATACATTTATATATTTGCATATATGTTTAACATACAGTATATATTTATATATTTATTTACATATGTATATATTATATTTATATATTTTGGACTATGGTTAACTAAAATTCGCGTTTAAACGTGTTTTCTTACTAGAAAGAAGAATACACGTGAG